GTCAACCAAAAACTGCCTGGTTTAATGCCAAGTGTTGGAGCAATCTCAGGGGCTTGAGTAGGCACAAATAGGCCTTTCTGCATGCCAGCTTCCCATGCTTTTTTATATATAAAAAATAATATGTAAGAAACACAATAAAAATGAAGATTGGACAGGCAACTTGGCTCCCATTCCATTGTAACAGGTTCATCCCATTGCTTAACCCTGGAATAAGTTACTATAACTTGCAGTTATTAAAGAGGAAATTAACTCTTTCAGGAAGCAAAGTCCTCTGAAGTTGTGGGTAAAAGCTTGGCCGTAAATAAAAAATAAAACTGGGACGTGAGAGAGTCGAAGTGTTTAAAGTTTACATACCACAACTGTTTGGCTACAGGTGCAGGCAGGAAGCTGTGCTTTGAACCTCCTTTGCATGCAGAGCTGAGCTGCCTCCGCACTTCCGGCTGGTTTGCTTTAGTCACCTGTGGTGGTAGCTAGTCCTCTGTGAAACCAAGCATGCACGATCGGATGGTGTGCCTGTAGCCTCCAGCCCCGTTCCCCACGTAGGGATCTTGCAGCTGGAGATGGGCTGTTTGGACCAGGATGGGATAGTGGAAATGGCTAAGCAGCCCAGGCTTCCTTGCCTGTTTGCCTTTCTCGCGCAGTTGGCTCTGGGGAAACGCCGTGCCGAAGCCTGCAGCCTGTCCTTGATTTCTGCTAGCAATGTCAGCAACCCGGTCAGTAGTGCAGGCCAACTCCATTCTGGCTGCGCAGGCGTGCTTGTTTGCTCATGAGCAGTGGCAGCTTCAGGATGAATGTTGGGGTGGCTTGGAAAAATTCCTCTTTTGGGTAGTTCTCTCAGCACCATAGATGGTTCCTTAGCTCAGCTTTCTCCAGGCTGGCATGCTCCAGATAGTGTGACCTGTAACTTTTGCAGTTGCTGCCCTTTAGCTAGGTTGCTTGAAATTATGGGACTTCTCAGCTAGTGTAATAGAAGGATACCAGTTTGGGGAAAGGCTATAGTGGTGGGGAACATAGCTTAAAATTCCATTCCAGTCTTGGGTGCTGGAATTCAGTGAGCAGTTGGGTCAGATGGACCATGGTTGCTACAGAATTCATTCCATGCCACCTTGACTTGATTTGATAAGGAAATTAGAGCTTGCTCCAGGAAATCCTTACTGTAATTCCAAGCTATTGTGGCTTGTTTTAGTAGAGCTTTGTTGGATTGTGGCATAGCACTTTCAATAAACGTAATTACTCTCTCAGTTATGTGGGACTGGAAAACTTTCCGGGTTGAACCTGGATCAGACTTCTTCATCCTGGTGCCATCTGGATATATTTGATGGCAGCTGCCTTCATTCCTAAGTTCGCCTAGGGGTGGCTGGGCCAATGATGAGAACTGTAGTCTAACATCTGGAGGTTATTAGTTGGGGAAGGTGGAACAGATCATCCTGAGCTGGATGAACTCCTGGGATGGCTTAGTAGAAGGCAGCTTCCTAAGAAAGAGTCTTCTTGACTGGTGGGAATGGCTTGGTGGATTATCATTGTAGGAATCTCAAAGCACCTTCAACTTTAACTGTTGAAGGATTCAGGATGAAGCTGGAGCTATTTTCCTCTTAGAGAGCTGGTGTATGCAGGTAGTTTATGCACGACCATGGATTTCTTTTGCTGTCTCAAGTAAAATTTCTGGATATCCTTGATCCAGAAGCAATGCAGTTTAAAGCTGGCTCTAACATTTGCCTATCAGGATCAACTCCAGATGAGTTGCGTGGTATTTGAAGCAGTTAAAAAAAAAAAAAAAAGCTGGATCTCAGCTAATTCCCAGTGTATGTTTACTCATGGACTCCCCATTCAGTGGTGATTTATCCCCACACTGATGCTTTCAGTTTGCAACATCTGGCTTAAAGGATACCAAGGATTTACTGAGAAGTTGATTTTGTAGCTCATACATCCCAAATATTTGAGGTTGAGCTTCCAGCCAGGTTGAGAAAAACATGAGTGGGCAACCTGTGGTCCTGTAAGATATTGCTGAACTTCAGCTCCCATTATCCTTCACCACTGACCATGCTAGCTGGGCTTGCTGGGAGTTGTAGTTCAGCCATAGCCTGAAAGGACTATACCTTGTTTGTCTTTGGAATAAGGAGTTCTGTGCAACAGGTGCTAGAAAAGTCTGTTTAACTTTTGACTGTTGTCTTTGACCAAAACAAACATCATACTTCTGGAAATCAGAGTAGTAGCTTGCATGAGGAAGCTTTCTTTCTATGGCCCCCCAGGGACATTTCTGTAGGAATGCAGCCAACATTCACCGTCTGCAGTGACATCAGACAAAGATTGAGAAAAAGTTGTTTTCTGCCAGAGACTAAAACTGCTTTGCCCCAGTCTGGGAACCCTCTAGTTGTGTGGACTTCAGCCCCCAGAATTCCTCAACCAGCATAGCCAGTGCTCAGAATTCTGGGAGTTGTAGTCTATGCATCTAGAAGACGCTCATGTCAAAGAGTATTCTAGTTCATTCAAGAGTATGACTTGACAGTAAATGGAGATTAAATTATCATATAGTTTGATTTTGGTTCAGTGTAATGTGAGAAGACAATCAGTAATTATACTATGGTTTGTTTTCATTACAATTAACCACAGTTTGATACCATACGTTGTTCTTGGCTTACTGATAAGAGTAATTATGTAGTGGAAGCTCATGGTTGTAGTTTTCTGGTTTGTTTCCTGGCTTGTTTTCATGCTCTACCTAAGCCTCTAATCAATTCGGAAGGGGGCAAAATAACAGTGCCCTCCCCCCCAAAATGAAAGGAATCACACCAGGAATTGGGCAAACAAGCCTTAATCAACTGTGGGGTTGAATCTAGTTTGATCAGCAAAGTCAAATAAACCATGACTTGATGTCTGAGTAATACTTGATAAATAGCTGACTAATCATGATGGCTAGATGTTGGCTTGATCAGGGACAGTATATCACATTAGGAATGAGCTCTTAATTTCATGTCCTGCTTGTGGGATTTCTAGAGGCATTTCTCAGGAGTGCTGTAATTCAGATTTCTGCCTGGAGCAGAGGGTGGCTCCAATGGCTGCTTCCAAATGTCTGATTCTCTGAAGCGTGCTGAACTAGAGAGGCCTTTGTTGACCCAGCTGAGCTAAGTCCCTTAGTTTTTTCTTCTTTTTCTATAATAGTAATCATAGTTAGATAGATACCCTGCCTTTCCTCCTGCAGCTCAAGAAAACAAATGTAATACTCCCTCCACCAGTTTTTCTCCATAAGCACCACCTATGAGCCAGGTTGGGCTGAGAAGAGGTAATTGGCCCCAGATACCCAGGGAGCTTCTGTAGTTAAGGCTGGAATTGAACCTAGGTCTACCTGGCCCTGCTCCAACACTGCACCATACTTTTATAACTGATATTTGGCAAAATGTCCATCATCCTTTGATCATTGGCAAAACTGTCCCCCATCATCGTCAGTGAGTGTAGTTTGAGGATACTCGCTCCTTCTGGGATTCTAATAGGAAGTGTGTTTCTGACTGGATTCTGATTCGAAGCGAGGCATTTTCAGCTTGTGCCAGTTGCAGGCACTGGCATCGTCTCAATCTCCCCCAAGCAGAGAGGAAGGATTGCTGGTGGGAGGCAGGCAGAGAGGGACCAAAGGCTTCCAAGAGACGGGGTGGGGGTGGGGGTCTACCGAACAGCTCAGGAGGCTGAACAGATGGCTTGGGGATGCTGGCAAGAGGCCTGTGGTGTTTGTGCCAGCCACACAAACTGTGTTTTGCAACAAACTCAAGCCTGTATTTGCAGTACAGTGGGTAATTTGGATGGCATAAACATTCACATTCTTTGCCACCCGCCCAAAAGTATTAGAAGAAGATGGCAAAAAAAGTGATGTTTTGAGTGGGGAATAGGAAGCAGAAAACACACATATGGGATCAGATGAAAACAGCAAATGCTTGCAAGTTACCAAGCCGTGGATTTGGCAACCTTCCAACTGTCTGGATCAGGACACCGGGGTGAAAAGAGCCATAGGGTTGACGGTGTATTGATTGCTTTGCAGATACATGAAGTGATGTGAAGAGTTGATGTATGTATACAAAATGCACACTTCTGTGAAGGCCTGGGGTTGGGAACGCAGTCAAAGAAAGGAGGCCAGAAAACCCGTATACATCATTACTACCCACTGGATAAACATAAATGCAGTTCAGGAGAGGAAGAAAGAGGAGTGTTTTTTTAAAGCTTTTTGGATGCAAGGCACTCAGAAGACTGGAGGAGCATAAAACAAGGTTAAATCTAGGTTTATATCAGATTCTGAGACGTCTTTATTTCTAAATTTTCTTTCTGGCTTTTCATGAATAAAACTCTCAAAGCAAGAATACAACTATTTCATTTATTTTTCTACATTATATGGTGTTCCAGTTATCAGACCAGTCTAAGCCACTTACAATCCTACCATGTATAAACATGATTAAAACAGCAAAAATTGCCAACAGTCACAACTGCATTATAAACTATTACAAATAATAACTATTATTATGTCAAAGAATCATAATCTCATATAGTCATAGATTCTTACCTAGGAGGAATCCCTCTCAAATCCCCCCACCCCTCAAAGCCTGTTGAAATAAACAGGTTTTAATTGTATTCCTAAACTCTAAACCCCAGTAATGTGAAACATTTTATGCCCCCCTACATCTGGTTTGAAGTTTCCAGCATGGCTCTTCTTAGGATTCTGATTTTTGTGATGTTTCAAATATTACACTGTTCATTGAGGGCAGAGATTCTTTAGAGGAATTTAGAAGTCAAAATTGGTATCTTTTCGTTCTACATGTCTGGGACTGTGGAACTGAATTATTCCTGGAGGAAAGAGGTGATATAAGTCTTATAAATAATAGCAGTGTTCTTACCAATCTTCAAAATTTAGCATGAAGTGAAATTGAATGAGGTGTGTGTATATGTGAACATCTCCAAGGATTTCCCTGACTGAAAGCAATATTCTGAACATAACCTGTTGTGATCAACTAATCATAACAGAAATAATTTCTGACCTATATAGTAATCCAAGCTCATTCCTGATTTGGTTAAATGCATCCTCCTCCCGTAACATGGGCTCATACTCTCTTGCCATTGGCGATGCTGGCTGGGGCCATTGGGAGTTGGTCCCAAATAGATGCCTCATCTTGGCAGGAGGGTGTTCCTGGAAGGGATGAGCAAATAACTCCAGGAAAGGATGCCAAGGGTATATATTTCCTGCAGGGTCATACAAAGCTTGGAGGCCATCCCAGCTGTCCTGCTAAACCAATATTGGGCAGCAACAATATAGGAAGATGCTGGAGGCAGTTGATTGCTTTACTGACAATGGCAAAAGCATGTTTCCATACTGTGCAGAAAAGGCAATGGTAACCCACTCCTGTATTTTATTAAGAAAACAATGTAGGTAGACAGTGATGATATAATTCTGGCTGATGGGCCTCTCAGATCAGATGGCACTCAACGTGTTACTGAGGAAGAGAGAAGGATCTTTCAGAATAGTAATGAAGTTTATGATGTGGCTAGATTAAAGCCTTTCAGATGTGTAATTGCTGATGTTGCCATGCAGGAAAAGAAACTCTGAAGCTGCAAAGACAGACTTAGAGTGGGAAATTGTGCATAAGAAGCATGAACATAGGAAAGATCAGGATAGTGAAAGATGAAACGAATTGATTGCACATTGACTTGAAACAGATCACAAACTGCTCACATACAAGTTCCAAATCAAGCTAAGCCCAAGCAATTTCCATATACCTGCTCCATTACAAGGATAATATCAGGAATCACTTTGAAGTCCTGATCCTCATTGACAGGGTACCAGAGGAACTATAGAATGAAATTAAAGAAGTTGTTAAGAACAAATATGAAAGAGATTGCCAAAGACCAAGAAATAGAAGAAACTAAAGTGGATATCAGAACAAACAGTGGAATTTGCCAAGAAGCCAAAGCCAAGAAAGACAAAGATCTCAAGAAGGACCTTAATAAAGAATTTCAAAGAAATGTTAGAAGAGACAGGAAGCAGTATTTCCACGACATCTGTAAAGACATTGAAGATGGAAATAGACATGGAAAACCAAGGAAAGTCTTCCAAAAGATCTCTGAACTCAGAAGGAGATTTCAACCTTGGATTGGTACCTTAAAGGATGCCAGTTAGATCAAATGAAGATGGAAGGACTATACTCAACGTCCAAGATACTTTGAAAGATATGCCCTATTTTTTAAAAAATATCTAATACCAGAAGATAGAGTTAGATCAGCATTCCAGCAATTACCAAGTTGAAAAGCTACAGGAATTGATTATCTGCAGAAATATGGCAAGCAACAGAAGAAGCATCAGTAAAGGTTCTGATCAAATTACAGTATGCTCCAAATCTGAAGAACAACACAGTGGCCAACAAATTGGAAGAGGTCAATCTACATTCCAATACCAAAGAAAGGAGACTTAGAATATGCAAACTATCATACAATATCCTTAATTTCACATGTTAATAAAATAATGCTTAGGATCACCCAGCACAGATTAGAGCCTTACATGGAAAGAGCAATGCCAGATGTTCAAGATGATTGTAGAAAAGGCTGAGAAACAAGAAGTGTTGTTGCTAATACATGTTGGATAATTGAGAAAGCCAAAGAATACAAAAAAGTCATTGTCTGCTTCATTGATTATAGAAAGGCCTTTGATTGTATTGACCATGTCAAACTGCGGAAAATGTGAATCTCAGAACTTCTCATAGTCTTCATGCAAAACCTATTTACAAGACAGGAAGCCACAGCCTGGATGGAACATGGTGAAACAGACTGGCTCAAGGTCAGCAAAGGAGTGAGACAAGGCTGTATAACTTTCCTTATTTATTAGTTGACTCTGCCGAATATAGATTGAAGGAGGCTGGATTGGAAGAAGATTGGCGTGGTTTTAAAATTGCAGGAAGGAATATCAGTAACTTGAATCACACTGATAATGGTACTCTGAAGTTGAAAATGCAAATGATCTGGAAGCTCTATTAATGAAAGTAAAGGAGCAAGTGAAAAAATGGAATTAAGATTAAATATAAAGAAGACCCAACTGATGACAACAGGTCCATCAACCAGTTTTAACACTGACAATAAAGATAATTGAAGTGGTAGATAGCTTCTGCCTTTTAGGATCAACTATCAGCAGAAAAGAACTAGCAGTCAAGAAATACAGCACAGATTGTTAGTCCCATTAGGTAGACCAGACCAGAAATCAACTCAGGAAGGCTAAAATTATCTTTATTGACATTGGCTATAATAAGAGAATCTTGCAAGTCTGATTGTGGTGTACCTCCTTCCCTTTCTTATACTCCAGCAAATCAGGGAGGCCTCTCCCTGAGCTGCTTCTGAATGTTATCTCATTGCTCTGGACTTAAAAAAATGTTTCAGCCCCTTTTACCTAGGAAATGGTTCTTGCATATTTTCATTAAGGTCATCTTCCTTATTCTTTACACAGGCTAGCATTTGATAGGGTAATAATGAAGGCCTTGCAAAAGATACTCATGCTGTGATGGGTCTATACCTTCAAAGATCATAATCATGGAAGCAACAGTTTTACTTGTGACTGTTGGGCTGAAGAAGGAGGAGAGGAAGAGTATTGATTTTTTTGAACTTTGGCACTGGAGGAGACTCCTGAGAATGCCATGAATAGCCAAGAAAAAATAAATAAATGGATCATAGAACAAATCAATTCAAAGTTCTCACTTGAGGCATAAATTACTATTTTCAAATTATCATATTTTGTATACCTTATTGAAAGACCTAGCTTTCTTCAGAAGTGCATAATGCTGGGAAAAATGGAAGACCAGCTTGGGATAGACCTTCTCCAGGATGATCTATTATGTTATTGAAAAGGACAACACCAAATTGATGGCACATAATCGATCAACTAACATGATTCTGACATGACCTGATTTTTATTTCTCACACTGCCCCAGACATGACATTACTCTGAGGCATTTTAGGACATTTTAATTGGACATCCAGTTATTCAAGACTGTTCAGAAACTGTAGCTACCTGCCAGGTCAGCCTGTCAGGCTAAGCTTCCCCACCTTGAATCAAAGGTAGCCCTGGAGGCCTTCAAAGCCATTGCTGTATCTGGTGCCAATACATTTTTTCAGTGGTAGGTTTAGGGTAAACTTTTGGACAACTTTACTGATGCTGATCATGAGCAAAGACTTCCCCAAATTGCCCTTTTTTAAATGTTGTGCCAGAAGTGGAGGTCTGTCCACTTCCTTATAGCAATGCTTTCTTGGGGGTATGTGAAACATATGGATTACCTAAGCCTGTTTTAAAATTGCAGCTTGATGAGTCAAGCCTACGTGCTCTCTTTTCTACTGTTTCTCTACTGTTACCTGCTTTTGCATCAGTTTTGCACCTGGTCCCTGAACTGGAAGAAATTAAAGAAATGCCAAATAGAATTCATTTCAAAAAGCACCATATTCCTGTTCACCAATGGGTGGGAGGGGGTGTTTGATAATGGATGCTAATGGATGACCCCTCCTCTGTCTGCCTCCATGCATTCTTTTGGCCTTGGCATGTCCCTCACTTATCATTGAATATTCATGCCTTGCTTTTCTTAAATGCTCAAAGCATTTTCATATGCACAGATTAGATTAATTCACTGCAAGCCTATAAAGGTAAGTTTTTACCAACATCTGACTACTTTTTAGGGTGGCACAAGAATTTGCACATTTTTCATAAACAGAACCAATGCACATCATTGGACACTTGTTGTTTTTGTATTTGCAATTATCTTCACATATATGTGTCTTGCTTACCCTGTTTTGGGGTCCCCCCCCCTTTTTCTTCCTTAACATTCAGAATGAAGGTTCTGTCCAAGAATATACAATCACGTATCTTGTGAAAGAAGGTTCCGAGAAGGCCGACCCATCTCACTTTGAGCTCCTTAAAGTTCTTGGACAAGGCTCTTTTGGCAAGGTGAGGCTACATTTTTAATAGTTAATGTAAACTATGTATGTAACTATGCACTCAGCTCCAAAACTATTTCTCATCTCTGTTTTTCCTAAAGTTCTGCTAAATGTGTGCTGCTGTTTCTCATCTAGACCTTTTCTGCACAGGTCTTTCTTGTCAGAAAAATCACCCCACCAGATAATGGCCATCTCTATGCCATGAAGGTCCTAAAGAAGGCAACTCTGAAAGGTAAGGTGGTCCCACGTGTTTAGGAAACTAAATTTATTGGCCAGCCAAGTATGTGAGGGACATTTGGTGATACCCTTTAGTTTGGTTTTCCTCTTAGTCCCTCTTTGATAATTTCCTCTTAACCAATGCGTGAATGGTTGACTTACAGGACCCCTGTGCCTCACTGATGTGGGCCCCAAGCTACAGGCTTTGGGTTGCATGTGGGTCTCGGGGCTGGTGCATTTTTTTAGATCTGCTCCACCTGAATTGGGCCCTTCTATGTTGGTAGTGCGTGATCGTGTAAGGACCAAAATGGAAAGAGATATTCTCGTTGAAGTAAACCACCCATTCATTGTGAAACTCCATTATGGTGAGTACAGGACTCTGTTTTCTTGATTTTGGGGAGGAATGTAAATCATAGGCAGGTGACTTTTTTGTAGGCTACTTTGTGGGGCTTTGCTGGGAGGAGTTAAAAAGATGATAATTACTCAAAGTTCTCAAACAGCGTGAGCGTAGATGCAGCTGGTCTCCTAGACGAGGCATTTATTTATTTATGTGTTTGTTTATGTTAGTATGCCCTGCTTTTCTGCTCAAACAAGCACACATGAGCCTTAATACAATTTTTAGAAATAGAATTTAGAAAGTTAAAAGCATTAAGTTAATATGCTAGGAACTTTTCCATCCAAAGCAGTACATGTCTCAAACATGTTCTAAGAACAACCGATTAAAAGTAAAGAAGAAACTGCACATATGGGCATCTTTGGGTGTGGGCCAAGGAGGAGCAAATGACACATACATAATGACACGGTCACACTAATGCTAACATACTTGCCTCAGGCACCAGGAATCAAATTTATAACGATGGTGTTTACATGATGTTGTCATCGTACGTATGTCCGCGTTGATGTCATTGCACGTGTATTGTCACTATGAACTTCAATTCCTAGAATGCCCCAGTCAGCATAGCCATTTCTGAGAATTTGGGGAATGAAAGTCCATATGTCTGGAAGCCACCCAGCTTGAGGAAGGATGCCTCAGATTCTGGTTGAGTGTAGCCAATTCAGCCTTCCACAACTTCCACAATGCAGGACCAGCACTGGAGAAGGCAATTATTTAGGGAATACTGATCCCTGTTCTCTGCCTTGCATTTCAGCTTTCCAAACAGAGGGGAAAGTGTATCTCATCCTCGACTTCCTCCGAGGAGGGGATCTCTTCATGCGCCTTTCCAAAGAGGTGAGTGTCTTTGCACACCACACGGCTTACAGGCTGGTTATAGGATGCTGGAGGTAGGAATTAAATTCTGCAATGTAGACATTTTGTAATGCTGTCAGGATACTGGCACTGTTTACCCTCTAAAGCAGTGTTTTTCAACCTTGGCAATGTTAAGAGATGTGGACCTAACTCCCAAAATTCCCCAGCCAGCCTGAAGTCCACACTTCTTAAAGTTGCCAAGGTTGAAAAACACTGTTCTAAAGAGTGCAAGTGTGCTATCAGATGATGGCTGGGAGGATTTTGGTCCTCACCTCAGCTGAGCCCAGCAGAATACTGAATGATCCAGAAGAGTCATTATCATTAACTTAATCTACCTCTCAGAGTCATCATGAGACTGAAATGTGGGGAGGGAAACAAGATATGCTCCATACAGGAAAAGGAGTGATACATAAATGCAGTCATAAGATAGATGTGCCATCTGAAGCTTTGGAGGCCTTGGTAATGATCAGATGTTGTCTAGTAATGTGCAGGATTATATGTAATTCCATGTTAGCAGATCTCAAGTTATCACTTGGCACTGCTCATCAGGGGAGAATACTAATCTTAATGGGTATATCAGATCTTCTAATCTTCTTGGCATTAAAATGCCTAAGAGTCAGAATAGTGTCCTACAGTGCATTCCAGCTCTGTAATCCAATCGTATGATGCACACTATGCTGTGCAGGATTTGAAAGAACCTCCATGTTTCCAGCCCTCAAAAGTGTCAAAGGCGAGGCTGAAAGGGCCAGCAAATGATATTCCATAAAGATGCTGCACGATCAGAGTTCATTATGAGGATGACTAGTACATTCAGTGAAGGGACATTTAGAATGCCTTGTAATATATATTTAGCATCTCTAAAAATACTTCTCTCCTAAGGAAGAGCTTAGGTTGTCTGTGCAGTTGGGGTTAGTCCTGGGTGTAGATGTGAGTTGTGCTGAGAAAAGAGCAGGACATTATGATATAGAGATCACAAGTAGTTTCATAGCCCTTTGTTCATTTCCTCCACAAATAAGAGGAATAGAATAAACTTTTTTTCTCAAAACAAAGGAAATATAGACAGAGCTGCGAAGTCCAAAGCCAACCTCCAAATTTTAGAAATATGACATAAATGCATGTACCTGCAAAACTGATGTTTTATTCATAATGGGCTCACACAATGGTCCAAACCCTAATTCCAGGTTAACACAGAGCAGAATGATTAATGCCTGAACAAACTGTATTGTCTCTTCACATGATGGCCTGATCTAGCCAAGCTTTGTGGCTGAGCCTTCCACAACATGCTGTACCCTAATTCTAACTTAAGTGCATTTTAGCCTGGTCTAGCCTGTTTTCAAACCCAGTCTCATGGGCTCCCAAACTGCACAGAGCAATCAAGCAAAACTGGCAGGTCTTCTGTCTAAGCAGCTCGCATGATAATCCCATAGGGCCATTTTTCACATTACAGACCATTTCAAGACAGTAAAAATAACTTCAGCCCAGAGACTTTTTCGTAACAATGTGCAGCAATGCTGGGGAAGTGTTGTAGTGCTGTATATGTGTGTGTGGGAAGGGGGAGAATCACATTGTTCCTTTAATTCCAAGTATATTTATTTGGAAGTGCGTCCATTTGCGTTTCCCTTGTATCCCCCCCCCTTTTTTTTTTTTTACAAAGTTGACTTTGAGTCTTTGAACCTTAGTTTTATTGAGTCAAACTTAGAATGAAACTCTGGTGTTCCAGGCAGAAAGCTTGATAGGCTGCTACAGTACACAGCTACCTTCCCCTCTCAAGCACAGCAGAAGGATTGAGAAATAGCAGTGCATGCTTAACGGTCTCTGTGCTCTTACACAGTGCCTGGCCACCTTGGAGTTGGGGGGTGGGCAAGATGCGGGAAATGCAGGAAGGCCCTGATGGCGTAACATAAAGTGCCATGTGAGCAAGGAGGCAACAGAACAACCAGAATTGCTTTTAATAAAGAGTCGGTTCCAAGTCTGTTTTCTCCTTCTTTCCTGCTGCTTAGCAACTTCTAACAATGCTTTTAAAATTGATGCATTTCCTATGACATGCCTGTAAAATAGAGGCAAGTGAGCAGACTAAGTATCTTTAATGAAAGAGGTAGAAAAGAGATGGAGAAAGATCTTTGACTGTGCGGGATGGATTCTCAAAATAGAGCCATTGCTGGAAAATCTGGTCTGCGATTAATCCAGTCGCCACTGCATCGCATACAGAAGTCAAGAACCTTGTTTAAAAAAGAAAAGAAAAGAAGAAAGTGATTCTTGAGTGCAGAATACAACTCATAGTACAGAGTCCTTGTTTATTCACCAGCCTTTATTCACCTGCGTGTCTACGCAGGTATTGTGGGAAAAGTTTAAAAAGTCAAGGTGGCAACTGCAACTCCACAGCGCATGTAAGAAAGGGGTGGGCTCTGAGCCTGCAGTCACAGCTGCCATCTTGATTTCTGACCATTCCTGCATATGGCCCTGCACACACACACTCACATGCAGAGGGAGGGAGAGAGAGAGAAAGACAGACAGACAGACACACAGTATATACATAGTCTTGTTTTTGTTTTCTGCGTTGCATGACCTGAACTGGCTGTTCTCTGTTCCTCCCAGGTAATGTTCACTGAAGAAGATGTGAAGTTCTATCTTGCAGAACTGGCACTGGGACTTGGTCACTTGCATCGTCTGGGAATCGTGTACAGAGACCTTAAACCAGAGAAGTATGTATAGCCCAGAAGCTCATTTACTGGCTTCCTTCAGGATGTCTTACTGGGCAGTGAATTCACATTGGCCGTTGGATGGTCCTACTCAGTGGACAGCTCATGGAACCACTAACTCATCCAAGCAACATAGTTCTGTGGGGATTTTCAGGCTAGAGTAGCAATGCTAGTGGAATGCAATGCCATCCTGTTACATGAGGATTGGGCAACCTCTGGCCTCATATGGCCTCATCCAGCATTTCATTTATGGCCCTCCAGGACCCTGAGATTACACCCCTGTAATTTGGCTGCAAAATGCCCAATTTTGGCAATGCATTTTTGCTTCCATTTTCAAGAAGGAAAGGTGGGAATAGGAGAGATAGGCCTAAGGGGGCTGAGTTATTCTTGTCCTCTCCCATAGCTCCTCCAGAACATGAACAATGACCCCAAAATGGGGAGATTGTGGGGTTTGAGGTGCTTGAGTGGTTTGCCTTTCAGAGACCTCCCACTCCTGTTCCCCTCCTTCACTTCTTTTTGGTCTATGACTGTATACATTTTTAAATTTATTTTATATACATACATACATACATACATACATACATACATTCATACATGCTCATCTTTACCCCCTCCCTCTGCAAAAAAGGCTGAAATATTTTAATTTTGCCCCTTCCAGTGATGTTATCATATTGCTCTTGGGGGCTCTGGGAGATGGGCGAGTGGTGGGCCCTGACCCTTCAGCCATGCCCCCCCCGTGTTATGTCATAGCCACTTTCTTTTAGCTTCACAGTTTGCCCAACCTGCTTCAGTCTGCCCTGCTGCAAAACAAACATTTATGGGATCACCCCAGTTTGTGGTCCCACTGGAGAAAATACAAGTGAAATTCTCCATCCTGCAAGCCAAGCCTGGGTCTTTGGAAGAAAAGTGTTAGCTCCTGCACAATTCAGCTTTCCCCAAGCTTCTGCCCTCCAGCTGTGCTTCCCTCTTCCTCCCTAAAGATTCCTGACCAGATCATAACTATCGACAATTCCTCTTACTTACTTACTCTACAGGTTAAAATTTTAAGTGTCCCTTTCTAGCATGCATCATGTTTCCTAATACTCAGGAACTTTATTTATTTGCTTGTTAAATGTATATTCCACCTTTGAGGAGCTAAAAGTGGCATACATAGCACTCCCTTTTCCCATTTGTCTTCACAACAATATCCGGTGAGATAGGCTGGGACTGGCCAAAGCATTTAGGGTCCTTATGTGGCTGAAGAAGGACTCGAACCTGGAAGTCCCCATTCCTAGTCCAACACCTTCAACACTGCACCATACTGGCTTTTGGACTGAGAGGAGAGACTGGTCTGAAGTCATGCAGTGGGCCTCTGTGGCTGTAAGGCGACTAGAACCCAGGCCTCCCTGCTCCTAGCCCAACACCTTCATCCAGTGTTTCTCAACCTTGTCCACTTGAAGATGTGTGGACTTCAACTCCCTGAATTCCCCAGCCAGCAGGAATTCTGGGAGTTGAAGTTCACACATCTTCAAGTGGACAAGGTTGACAAACACTACGTTCACCACTACACCACTTTGGCTTTTGGGCTGAGAGGGACAGACTGGCCCCAAATCCCCCAGAGAGCTGCTGTGACAGAGGGTAGATTTGAACCTGGTCAGCCATCTGCTGGGGTTGCTTTAATTTGGGTTGCTAGACTGGACAACAGGTTGATAGCTTCAGTAGCCAACTGGAGATCCTTGCAACTGAACTTGGAAAGTGTGGGCTCTCTTAGGAGGGTTTTAAAAGATTAGGTTCAGACTAGAGATTTTGCTTGTCCCTAATCTTGGTCTTCTAGAAAGGCAGTTGCATTCTGCTTTGGAAGCCAATGTTTAGTTGGATTTATTTGCTGGTTTTATTTAAGCTAGTTTAGCTTTTCTGTTACATTGTTTTTTTCTTTCACAGTATTCTCCTAGATGATGAAGGACATATCAAACTTACAGGTACGCCCTTTCTTGTTGCATTTTGATGTTTCTTGTACTTGATAAAAAACATATCTGTGTCTTTCTCCCTTCCTTTCCTTTCTCTTATTTTCTGGTTCTCTTCTTTCCCCACCATCAATTTACCTTGCTCCCTCCCCAACCCTTGTTTTTTTTGTAGACTTTGGTTTAAGCAAAGAAGCCATTGATCATGAGAAGAAGGCGTATTCTTTCTGTGGAACCGTGGAGTACATGGCGCCAGAAGTAGTGAATCGCCAGGGTCACACCCAGAGTGCAGACTGGTGGTCATACGGCGTATTAATGGTAGAGTTCCCTCAGTCAGCTTGTTGTACCATCTAACTCAGATGCTCTCAGAGAGCTAGCAGAATCTGTGTCTTTAGTAAGAGCCACCAAATGATAAGATAAAACAAATAGATTCACAGCAGTTGAAACCATGAAGCTAAATGCCCACTGGCAAGTGGACTGGAATCAGGAGGTCCAGATGGGCCATTGCCACTGTGGAGACCCTCTCTTGGATCACTCTTGCCGAGAAAGAGAGATTTGAAGAAGGGTATTCAGGGAAGGTGACCCAAGCTAATTTGGTATGAAACCCAGGTTGGAAAACAGGTTGAAATGGATTGCAAGTAAATTGATTTCTCCCCAAGAGTGGTAGAGTTGCATAATTCTCATCTTCTCAAGCACCAACTGGTCAACAGTAAGAACATTCATCAGTGTCACAAGATGCTTTTTTTTTTCTGGAAAGACTGCAGAGGCATTTACTGCTTCCCAGAGCTGGCTGGTCAATCTTTAGTGGTTTGACAAATGGATGGTAGATGGAATCCAATTTTATCCTGTCACTACTAGTTAACATACCTTAGCAAACCTTTCTGAATGTTCTTTGGCAGTTAGTTGCTAGGCAAGCTGGAGCATGTATTACCACAAAAAGTTTACTGTATGGCATGTAAAGATGCAATGGGGGCACAAAAGTTTTTTTGTTTTTTTTTACTACTGTCACGTCGTGTGGTTTTAGGACAACCTGCTTTGCTCTCGGCTTGTCCTGCTTCTGCAACTTCTATGCTTGTTGTTTCCAACTTCCTGGTAAATGATGGAGCTAAACAAATTCTAGGCCAGGTGTAGGCATCCTGTGGCAGTCAAAGTCTAAAACCTCCTCCTTGTTAGTCATCCTTCCTAGGGATGTGGGGAGATTTAGTTCAGTAATCTGGAGTGTTGTAACAAGAGACACGTATTTACAGTAATTATGTATCGTGTGGGTCATTTCTGCATTGCACACAAGGCTATGATGCTTATAGATTGCTGGTCATGTTAAGCAGAAACGTCCCAAGAGCCCTCAGGAAAAATGTCAGACTCCAAGTCAGTATTTCCCAACTTTGGCAACTTCCAGATGTATGGAGGAGCTCCTGGAAATCACAGCAATGGCCGGACTGGCTGGGGAATTCTAGGAATTAAAGTCCACACATCTGGAAGTTTTCCAGGTTAGGGAGCACTGCTCTCGATTGACTGCCTCAACCAACCCTACAGCCTACACTTCACTAGGAAATGATCTGGCTGTAATCCTGGAGCAAGAGGGAAATGCCCCAGACTTTAAGATCAACTACTTCCTCCAGGTCCCCTCCCAAAGGAGGCAAGGTAGGCCTCTACAAGGGGGAGAGCTTTTTCTGTGGCGGGGACACCATTTACGGAATTCTCTCCCCAGAGAGGCTCAACTGGTGCCCGTATGACATTGTTTTGGCTCCAAGTGAAGACCTTTCTATTTTCCCAGGTTTTTTAACTGACTTTTTATTGTATTTTAATTCATCTTGTTTTAGTTTTTGAATGCCTGTCTTGCAGCTGCCTAGTTTACATGGTGTTTTTATTTTGCATTTTATTGCATATGTTTTTATTCAGATTGTATTTTTCAGTGTGTTTTATTGCAAACAGCCCAGAGCACTTTGGCTACTGGGCAGTTTAATTTTTTCAAACAAACAACATAAAATATATGCCCCACAAGAACAACGGGAACACTAAATTCAGAGCCAGACTTCCAGTGTGTTGGACTGAGGAGACATTAGAAAGGGCCGGTGTAGTTACATTGAAGTCCTGAGCTGTCCCCAACAAGGCAGCTTCAGCAGGAGTATTGAAACTCCTTGAATGGTCCTCCTGGGATCCTCCACGCCAGGTCTGAAATCACCTCAAGCAGTGGGGCTGCTAAGTAGCCTTGTGAAATCCTTTGGGTTGTGGAAGCCATCTGCAATGCCAGCAAGGACGGTCATTAGCTGAATAAGTGCTGCCCTCTTGTGGCGATTACCTGCAAAGGTGGCCTGGCTTGAAACCACAAATACTGTACCAGTTTTGTAGCACCATGTATCTGGTATGAACCCCTGCAGAGGAGAAGCTCCTTTGTAAATGGGCCTTCTGTTACCTTTAGTCGGTTGACTGGAAGAGCTGGCAGCAAGGGACACTTCCTGCCCAGCTGACCCTTTGTGCATGGAAGGTCCAATCTTCTGCTCCTCTCAGAAGAAGACAAGACAAGTCAAGCAAAGCGAAGCGAAGCGAAGTGAAGTAAAGCTGTTCCTTGTGGCCATTCCCCCAAATGAGAGTGGTAGCAGCAAGAAATATCTGCCTGCTCCCAGGCTTGATGGATGTTGCCCTTTCCTTGCAACCACCTCCCTCCTTAGTTCTCCACCCAGGCAGGAAACTAATAAACAGAATTCTTCCCTCTGCCCTCTGTTTCCAGGAGACAGGGTGCCAGCCCTTCAAGGGAGGCCCGGTCAATAAACAGATGCCACAAGGATTCCAGGAATGCCTTTATATTGTTGCTGGGTAGAAGAACAGGAACTTGAAAGCCTATCCAGGTTTCTCTCTGTCCCTCCTTACACTAAACAAAATCAAGGTGTGGTTGTTTTGAATTTTTCTCACACTTGCTGCAATCTCTGGACTGTGTAATTGTTTCTTGAAGTCCCTCCTTCATGGATCTCTCCTCTCTTCCCCAAAGTCAGCTCTAAATTCCTTTGCGCAGGGAAAGGACGAGCACCTGTGTCTGGACAGTGAGGATTGCTGATGTTCGTTCTTTCTCACGGGCTCAGCTTGGCTTGCTTGCTTGCTTCTAGGGGAGCTCTGTAGCACATTCGGCTGCAGCAGCTGCCAGTGATGGCAAACTCTTGGCATAACTCACGTGGACGTTGCTACAACTCCGCATTGCTTAGTATCTCCTGCAATTGTTTTTTTTTCCTTGGCTCGATTATTACATTTTTTGCTTGACTGCAGTTTATTCACTGATAAAGTTCTGAGCTATCCCTTCCTTATGCTTGGCAGGTACTCACAAAGGAGCAGGAGCTGCAGTAGCCTGCTGAGTTTTAAGTTGCTTTCCTTTTTTTAAAAAAAAGTTTCATTTTTCTCTTGCCATTTGAGGCCTTCTTGCCTAACCTCTTCCTTCTTAACCTTGCAGTGGGGATGCCCTGAGAAATTCAAGGAGGGCCATTCATGAAATTTCTGCAAACAGAATTAGGGTTAATTAGGCCTTAACTATTTTAAGGAGACTGGTGCCTGAGACAAATATACCAATGGCACAGAAAGGAAGTGGTACGGCCTGGTCATCTTTTGTCCTGACCAATAAGAAGGGTCCTTCCCATCTAGCTAGCCAGGGTGAATGCTAACGCTGAAGTTATTTTGGCTCTGTTGCTTCCTTGGGTGGCAAAAGCGACCTTGGACATGAAAGTCAAAAAAAGCAAATAAAATGATGTTAAGTGTTGTTGCTGGAATTCCCTGGTTCATGCGTGTTGATCTCCTTGTGTGTTGTTCTTTGCAGTTTGAGATGCTGACAGGGTCCTTGCCGTTCCAAGGAAAGGACAGGAAGGAAACAATGACACTCATTCTTAAGTGAGTCTGGTGGTCTCTCAGCATGCAGACCCCGGAGAGGGTTTGCCCCAGGTTGACCCCTGGTTGGTAACTAGTGTCTCTTTGGAAAGAAGTGGAAGCGGATGAGTTATCTGATGCTTTTATGCACTTACACCTGTCTTTGTTGTCCTTCTGAGCTTTAATATATTTTATGATCTATATAGTTAAAAGAAAAAGTGAACTGATAGGAGGAGTTTGAAATGTTTGCTTTAAAAGAAGCCAATATGATCCCCATGTCCCTCCCACCAAATTATTGATTGGCAACCCCATGGCCACAAAATGGTGAATTCATCCCAGCTGTACTCATCTTTAAATACTAATAAATCTTTCAACTCTTATAACAGAGAGGTTTGATGTGTGTAGAAAAGCTATAATCCTCTCCAGCGGCACAGCAGGATGGAAAGGTGTAGGCATCATGGTGGTTATGGCTGCCAGTGTACCTTGGCATCTGCCAGACTCTTCACTGTACTTGACTTTAATTTCATGAAATCTATTTATCTACTGATGTGATGCAACAACCCCCCAGCATCATCTTTGTTTCTGAGGATGTGCTGGATCCTACAGACTGTACTGACTTTCTTAGAAGGTAAAATTGAAGGGTGGCCTCAGCCCAGTGCTTTGTTTTTTGGAGGGGGAGGAGAAAAAAAGTTGAGGTAGATTGATAAAAACCATCCTGGAGCTGCTAGAGAGGGTGAGGTTTCTCTTTTGTATATATATGTTTTATAACTGGATGCACCTGACCATGGGAGTCACTAGGTGAATAGGCAACTCCCTACCCTGATACAGGTGGAAAATATCACTTGATTAAGAGATGAATTTGCTCCAGGGACTACAAACTATGGGCCCTGTTTTGCATTCCTTAAAAGCCAGGCCTTTGAGGGGCATAATTTGGAGCCTCTTGGCTACTTCAACAGCCTTGGTTTGTACCAAGTGACTATTAGGCCCTTTGATTCTCAAAGCAAGAGAGGTCACTGGCCTGTTCGAAAATGGAGGTGCTGCAGGGTTTTGTTTTGGTCACTTATGTCTGGTTGCATACTTCTGCGTGTGTGTGTATCTATCTATCTATCTATCTATCTATCTATCTATCTATCTATCTATCTATCTATCTATCTATCTATCTTTTCATTTAGAGCAAAGCTGGGCATGCCCCAATTTCTGAGCTGTGAAGCCCAAAGCCTTCTGCGAGCCCTTTTCAAGAGGAACCCAGTCAACCGGTTAGGTAAGACGTTTGTGCTAGCCTTGCATCTGAGCATACGTGCAACATGCCCCCTCGCGCAGCAATGGAGTCAGATGCCCTCGGTGGGTCTTTTAGCAGGTTTTCTGTATAGCGCGACACTGTTAAAACTTGTCGAAACTGAAAACAATCAAGATGCTGAGTCCTGGCACCCAAACAAGAAGGGTTGTGCTGCTGGGGTGGACATGCACGTTCTTTGCTGTACGTATGCATCAGCCTGAATGCACCAACCCTGTGTTGTGTGTAAAACTTGTCCGAAAGAGTACGCCTTGCCTTGCAGGATCTGGTCCAGATGGTGTTGAAGAAATAAAGCGCCACTCTTTCTACTCCACCATTGACTGGAATGTGAGTATTGGCTTCTTTGGTCTGTTTTCTGCTTCACTGGGTAAAATCTTAAAATTCAGGTTTCAACAACAGGACAGTATACAGATTTGGCTTGTTTATGGAGCAAACCATGAAAGAAGCAACTCTGGTTATGCTGGCTGTTTCAGGGAACTATAGGTCTGAGCCCATAATGTGTGAATTTCTGTGGCCTTCCAAACTTTTGCAGGTAGCTGACCAATTAGATCCCAGCTTGGTGTCTTCCTGATGTCCAAACTGATACCACCCAATTACTTGGGCACCATTTCCATGAAGAACTAAGCCTGTGGCTGAATTTTTTTCTGCTTTTCCCTCTTTGGCACTCTGGGTGCATCCAGACCCTGACCTAACCCTCCTATTTCTGCATTATTTTTCATCCTCCAGAAGCTTTTCCGTCGAGAAATCAAGCCACCGTTCAAACCTGCTGTGGGCCGCCCAGACGATACCTTTTATTTTGACAAAGAATTTACCTCCCGCACACCCAAAGGTTTGTGCTTGGCTTTTAATAACTACAAGACAGTGTATGTACCTGTATGCATTCTTGGTCTATGGACATCATCTATGGACATCTTGTTCCTAGGACATTGAAATAGCCCTTGCCTCCATTTGTAAATCATTTCATTCATACCCATGGAGAATCAGATTCTTGCCTGATGTGAACTTGTTCTTTCACACATTTCTTCTGGGAGCTTTGCTCATGGATTTTTTACATACGTCAGGTCCAGCAGCCAGATTTGGGATCCTGTGCGCTCTCCCAATATAGAGAAAAGGTCTCTGTATCAGAAAAAGGGCATCTCACAAGATAAATATAATAGGATGCATCAGGATCAGCGTTTCTCAACCGTGGCAGCTTTAAGATATGTGAACTTCAACTGGCTGGGGAATTCTGGGAGTTGAAGTCCACATATCTTAAAGTTGCTAAGGTTGAGAAATACTGCTCTGCATGATTCTTTCCTTTCTATACAGCTCAGATTAGCATTTCATGTTCCCACAGTTAATGGAATTGAAGAAATAGCAGACATGGAAAACCTATGGCTCTCCAGATGTTGGACTCTCACCTTCAAGCCAGCATTGGCAGTGGTCAGGGGGAAGGGAGTTGGTCCAAAACACTGGGTTCCTCATCCTAGTTTTTGTGTCTCAATATTAGAGCTGGCTAGCACAGTGTTTTTCAACCTTGGCAATTAAATTTTTTAAATTATTATTATTATTAAATTTTTCAACTGCCCATCTCCCCCCAATGGGGGAACTCTGGGCAATTCACAATAAACATTAAAAACATA